ACGGACAAGCTTTAGCAGATCGTCCCCCAGACACTCTCGTTGAAAAAGGCAAGGCATTTTTATTTATATAGTGCAATTCATACCAAGCGGCAACTCAATGTGCTTTACATTAAGGCAAGACATTTTAAATAAAAGAACAGCTAAAAACAGCATTAAAAAAAACAAACAAACAAAAAAACAAAACAAAAAAACAACAAACAAACATAAAAGACGTCTATAGACGTCTGTGGCAGCCAATGAGTTAAGTCTGACACAGGATATTTCTTTTTTTCTTTTTTTTTCTCCTCCCAACTCTCTCTGTTGTTTATGGAAAATACTTTCTCTGCGTTTGTGAGTTAACTGGTGGGTATACAGAGTCTGTCCCCGTCTGCTCCCTCTTTCCAGCCAACATCTGGGACCAGCTGCAGATTTTTAAGCTACTAATGTACAAGTTTGGCCAGCTTGGAGGAATGTAAAACAATGGGATATCCAACAGAGTCTTGCAGTGAAAATGTTGTAATGGTTGTAAGCAAACATCTGGAGTTTTTGTTATACACATGCTAGTTACTCAGGTTTGGATTTTTAATGCAATTATCCTTTAAAATGCCATTGTTTTCATCTTCTTAACTTAATTTTCTCAAATGAGGTGACTCTGGATCCACAGTTTTTATGAGGACATTTTTTTCTACAGGAGGAATTTAACCCTGTAATGCCAAATGTTTCATATTTGATTCAGTTTCTGAAATGTTTTGCGTCTTTTTTTGCATAATTAATGCATAATTTAATGGTAAAAACTTTGCTCTAAATCCTATTGTACACAATCAGATACACCTGATAACAGGGGGCAGAAGACTACACAAAAAATAATCTTGACCTATCGCATAGTAATAAATTATTAATATTAAAAATGTATGTCTGTTTTTTCTTTTTACATATTTTGTTAAAAGGACAAATAAGGAATTCAAACAAAAAAAAGTAATTTTCTGTTTTTTTTTATTCTTGGATCAGGCTTTAAAGGGTTAAAGCAGCCTAAAGCTTTTATTTCACTCTGGAGAAACAATATTAAAAAAAAAACTAAGTAATCACACTGATATGACACAAAATGGCCCACATGTTCTCTACTAAACAAGCTGGTTGTTGTTTAAAAATTACATAAATCGATCACATTTGACTCGGTTTATTTATATAGAGCCATGGCAAATGTCAGGCCAGAACATTTTACTAAGAAAGTAAACAAATTCCATGGAAAAACTCATTCCCAGACCAACACCAACTAAATGTTTGCTTATTGTTATCGGACTAGCGTGGGCCAAACCTCAACAGTTTTAGCTTTTTAAAACTTTTCCATGTTCTATAAAACTCCTCACATGTGTTTCAGCTCCATATCGGGGCCTTCTAAATAAAGTAGGCAGACATTTTGATGCCATCTTTGGCACTTTTGACATCTGGATGCAGTATGGATTTAACCAGACAGTGTCTGTGTGGATTTGGATGTGTTTCCAGTCCCAAACAGAACCTGGACCTGTCCAGAGAGGTTCTTCCCTCTTGCTTGGGCTTAAATGGATGAAGTAAAGGGATGGCAGATGGTTAAGGGAGGGATGGGAATGGAAGATGGCTGGTTTGTGGCATTTAAAAATCTAGATTTGTTGATATTAGTGCGGTTTAAGCCTTTAAAGCCTGATCCAAGAAAAATAGGAAGAATATTGGATTTTTTTAGTCTAAAGTCTTTCTTTGGCCCCTCAACAACATATGAAGAAAGATTTTTTTTTTTTTTGATCAAATTAGCGTGCAATAATTCAAAAATCTATGTTGGTGTAGTCTTCTACTGGCTGTTATCAGGTATATCTGAATGTGTTCAACAGGGGTTTGAGCAAAGCTTTTACCACTGAATGATGCAGAAAGTCTCACATCCAAAAGAAACCCGATCAGATATGACACATTTGGCTTTATAGGGTTAAGTTTATCTTAAAAGTTAAGAATGTTCTCTTTATCTTTTATCACATCTACAGATCTTTATTTCTGATTTAAAGCACACGTTCTCTTTTCCTTAGAACCACAGCTACGGCTACTGTTAGTCAAAGCCGAAAAGTTGGTAAAAACTAGACTTTTGTGTCACCGTTCAGCCCTCTATAAAAGTATTACAGTACTTTTTAATGCAGTTAGGAATGTTGATTGAAAATCTTTAATTTTTGTGGGTTTGAGCAAAGCTTTTACCTCTGAATGATGCAAAAAGTCTCAGATCCAAAAGACTTCAGAAACCGTATGAATCAGATATGACACATTTGGCTTTATAGGGTTAATTGCGTGTGTTTAGTCTCGTTTTTTGAGTTTCTGTGAGTGTAGGTGTGGGCTGCATTGACATGCACGGCGTCAGACTGTATTTATTAACGGGAGGCACAGTAAATCCCCTGGACTCTGCCTTTTATGGTTGGTACGGTGGCATAGAAAGCCCATGTCTTTCACCTCCTTCCAGCACGTCTCCCCACAGAGCGGAAGTTTTTGAGGGCTAAACGACTGCTTAGCAGATAAAGAATTTTAATGACCATCCCAAGTTAAAAACAGGAGCCTTTATTCCTCTGACTGGTTGGCATGAATCCGAACGTGAGAGCCCCTCGGTCTTCTGGAGGTTTTTATTTTCCTTCTGACTTGATTGGTTGACTAATAATAATCTGTCAGTCTCTGTCTCTCTCACTGTCATGGAGGATGGATCTTGGAGGGAGATTCAGAAAACAGGGTTTATTGTAACATAAAACACACTCACAGAGAGTGAATGTCCAGATAAAGTTGAAAAAAACAAAGCTGTGGCAAAACTATTTTAATTTTTATTTCTACATTTTAATTCTTGCTTCTCATAGAAGTGTTGTGTACCAAACACTAAGGCAAATTCCTTGTAAGTCTAAAAACCTACTTGGCAATAAACCTTATTCTGATTCTAATTCTGATGACAAAGTAACTAAATAAAGATTAGCAAAACTATGGCAAGGCTGTGGCAAAACATGGCTATGGAACAAAGTAAATAAGACTATGGCATGGAGCAAAAGCAAAACCTTACATCAGTTTTTTTCAACCTTTTTTGAGCCAAGGTACATTTTTTCATAGAAAAAATCACGAGGCACACCACCAACCAAAAATGTCAAACAAATCTGTATCTGCCTATAGTAACACTATAGTTATTCTT